CTTAAGGAGCAACAAGCCTAAGAAAGTTTCATTCCAGAGGGCAAAAATGATATCTTGACGGTTGCAATAGGAAAACTAGAGCATCTAGGTCATGTGAGGGGGGTTGGACATGGTGTAGGCATAAGAGACTATTTTAAAGCATCTTTACACCCCAACTCAGGAGGTGTAGTGATTAGAAAAGAACTTAAAACAGTGATATCCACTGTGAGACAGCAAACTAAAGAAGAGTTTGAAGCTTCATTCACAACTTGGCTTTCACAAATGAAGGAACAAATAAAGGAGGAGATGATGAGCTCACGACAGGAGACGCCTACTGAACCAGTTTATATGTCTCCTGAATTTCATAACACAAAAAGGAGTAATGTTCTTGAGTGTGTGTTAGAGGGTCCTTCTCGTGACATCATTAGTAAACCATGCGCAATATTTCTAGAAGATCCTGATAGACACTTGGTTGCTCTTGGTAGTGTTTATAACTTGGGGTCAACCATCCACCATAAGTAAATTCAAAATTGTCAAGTAAAAGTGGTGGTTGAAGATCCAAAAGTGCCAAACACGTTGGTTCCATTTCCTACTGATGAGGTGAAGACTGTAGCATGAGTTGTTGGCGATTTTATCCTGTGGTCTGAGAGACTTGTGAATATAATTCAACTTGAAGTATGCAATTTTATTATGTGGCAGCTTTCCTAAAATGTTTTCTTACTAACTCTTTCTTTCTTTTTTATTATGTATAATAGCTTTTCTTACCGAATCTCTCAAAACTTCCAGAACTCTCGTTAACTCCACACTAATGAATGATCTTAATGGTGTTTGATCCATCATTGAAACCCAAAGATTTAGAAATGGATCTGGAGGTTGTACGTAAGAAGGACATAATAATGACAATTGAATGGAAAAATTTGCTTGGACTTTTATCAAATAGTCAACTTATCACACCACACATTGAACTATTTATGATGTAAGTTTGTGTTTCTTTAATGAAATTAACTTAATTATCAAGTTTAGTGATCTAACACAATTGCATTGTTGTAGATACTTTCATTATTTGTGCATCACATCGGGCAAAGGTGATAAGTTCATATTCCTTTGCTCATATCATATGACAGAGAAAGGGAATACTCCAGAGTTAAGAGCCCAGTATCTCCAGCAAAGAATATATGAAGTCAAGAAAGATGTTTTTATGGTTTTATACGTGCACTCGTAAGGATCAATTTGTAATTAATAGTTTTTTTGATGTAGATTTACTTTAACTCATTATATTTTATAAGGACCATTGGTAGTTGTTTGTTCTTTCAAGGAAGGGAAACACTATTGTCTTCTTATGTTCCCTCCATTAGAAACTTGAAAAGAAAATGAAGAAGATGATAGATTCGTAAGTATATTTGTGCAAAAATATTTAATATAGTTTATACTAAATATTTTAGTTACTAACTTGGTGATCTTGAACATAGAGCAATGAAAACATATCAAAACATGGTCTTGCAAAAGCACGGACAGGAGCTCAAGGATCTTACATGAATCAAGCCAAAAGTAATGCTATACTTTATGAATATGTTCAATTACTAAGATTTTTTATTGATTTCTTATGATTTATTCTTATATAGAACCGTAGACAACTAGTGAAGATGAATTTGTATGGCTTATATGTGATGAGACATATGCTCAACATTATCACATTGGGCATGACTGAATTTACAAAAGAGATAAATATATTTTTTAGAGTTTTATTTTATTATGTTATTTGAGAGTACATAATAAGTCTCTTTTATAAATTATATTTTAGATGTTTGACAATTCAAATTCATTCGCTGAAGCTGAAATTGAAGACATCCGCATACGTTGGACAACTTATTTTAGGGAGAATTTATGAGTTTTATAGAAAATTTTATATAATTTAAGAAGTTTGTTAGTTGTAGACAACTTTTAAAAATATTTGTTGACACAATATTTTGGATAACTCAGTAGTTTTTAGATAGTTTATAGATAACTTTCAGTTTTGGATAGTTGTTAATTTAATTTTATATTAAAAATTGTAAATAAATTGTGATGTTTGATTTAGCTGTGGTAATTTTGTGTACAGAGTAGGGTAAATTTAAAAATACGAATGTTTATTTTTAAATTAAAATACACTTTTTACAGCGGTTATTATCATAACCGGTGTAAAAATTACTATTCTACATCGGTTAATGTAAAAACTAGTGTAAAATAGCAAATTTTCTACAGCAGTTGGAACATAACCATTGTAGAAAGTGCTCCAGTTTTTAATTTTTAAATCGTTGATCCATTTTCTACATCTATTATAATTAGTTGATGTAGAATATGTATTTTTTACAGCGATCGTATAATCAATGTAAAAAGTTAGCCCCTGTAACAACATCGCCTATTTAACTGCTGTAAAAAGTCATTTTTAACTACTGTAAAAAATCATTTTTGTGGTAGTGTTTATTTAATTCTTTTTATAAGTCACGTCATTAAATTTTTATTATAAATATCCATTGAATATTGGAGAGAGATAATATGTTATTGAAATGTGTATATTTAATAGGGATAAAGTTAAGAACTTATTAAATTTTAAGACAAAGTTAATGAGTTTTAAGATTTTTTTTGGCACCGATAAAACATGTTAGAAGTTACTTATAAATAAGACCAGAAAAGTATACTTCATCCATTTTCAAATATAAGAGAAACTATTACGTATAAATTTCCTTTTATTTTAGATAAAATAACTTTTAGTCCTTCAAGTTTGGGGGTTCTATTACTTTGGTCCCTTAATTATAATTTCTATCATTTTAATCCATAATATTTACTTCAATTATCGAGCTATTTCTTTTAATTTTATAGAATAAGATAACACTCTAAAAAATTGATTTAGAAATTAGTGCTGATGTGGAATATACAAATAAATTAAATAAAATACATTAGCAAATTTTGGTAAGTCCTAATTACTTATATACTATTTTATTATATTGTCATCACTGTCGTGAATTTTTTTATAAGTAATTAAAACTTGACAGATTTTGACTGGTGTGTTTTATTTAATTGTCATGTATACTTCATATCAACAATCCGGTTTCCATATCAACCTTTTTTTTTTTTAGGGTTATTTTGTTTACAAAACTTAAAAAAGTCATTTCATAACTAAAACAAACATAATGGATAAAAATAATAAAAATTAAAGGTGAGGAACTAAATTGATATAAAACCTAATTGTAAGAGATTAAAAGTTATTTTATCCTTGTCATTTATAAGCAAAATTATAAATTTTAAAAAGTATTTATTATATTTTTTAAAATTATCGTTCATAAAGTTTATGTTTATTTTTACTAAACAAATTTGTTTCATCAATTATAGATATAATTTAATCTAAATTTTTAAATTTTAAATTTAATTATTATCTTCAATCAATATTCTTAAACCATGTGAATATATTATTTTTTCTTGTATTTAAAAATAGAGGGAGCATAATATAAATTTTGCAAGAAAACATATTATCTATAAACTATAAATAAAGAACTCCACAACTTTGTCATAGTAAAATGCGAAATCTAAATTGTGGCTATTGATCGAGATGTGTAACGAAAGAAAGGCCAAAGGTCATTTGAGGGGGGGAAAAAACCTAATGCGTGTTTTTTTTTTTTTTTTTTGGTTTGAAGAGAAAATGTGGGTGGAAAGAAAATATGAAGACAAAATTGAAAAGAAAATAATTTTTTTTCTATTTGATGAAAAAGGACAAGTGAGATGGAGGAAAAGCAGGGAAGAAAATAAAATGTGGGATCACCACATTTTCTTTTCAAGATTTCTATCTATATGGAGAGATTTCAGGAATAAGTTTATTATTTCGTGTGTGTGCCTTTCTCTCTTCTGCTTTTATTTTCCGTTTTTGTACTTTGTCAATCTCTCTCTAGTCTTATGCAAAACCTTTCTCTCTCCTACTCTTTTTTTTTTTCTTTTTCGCCAGAAGCTGCATGTCCCACAATACTGTATAGATGATTTGTATTTAAATTTAATAAATTATCTCCTTTTAATATTTTAAATAAAAAATAATATATTTTTATTAAACTTTTAGGTTTTAAAATATAATAATATGATAATATATTTTTTAATAAACAATTTCATTTTATTTTTTATGAAGTTAATTTTAATATAATTTTCCTTTTATTTTATTTCTATAAAAATAATTATATGAAACATGACACATTTTGATATAAGAGTATCATAGTCATTATATTATTTGCTCAATTCATTTCCTTCCTATTTTCTCCTACTCATCCAAGCATAAGGAAGGGTAATATTTTGTTTTTCTTGATCTTTGTTTTCTCCACAGTCTGTCCTTTTAATTTTTCTTCTCGTCTAAATGGAGGGTAATAGTATGAGACAACATATGTTAATTGAAGAAAATAGAAAAAGATTTTTTTGACAAATTATTCGATATTTATTATTATTTCGGTCTGGGATAGTTATTATTATTCTCTCTTATCTTGTTTGCAGGACACTTTTTATAAAATAATTTTTCATTGAAAATATGTGACACATTATAATAATTAATTTTTTTATTTTGCTTTTTCTTGATTAACATAAAAGTATTCAATGTGATTATATTATTATTTAAAATTAAGGATAAATATAAAAGTATATCCCATTTTTTAATAATATAAAAAAATTAACTTTTTTTTAAATGCTTGAAATGATTAAAAGTATCATACGATTAAAACTGAAGGAGTATTTAGTAATTCAAATTAAAATTTCATGGAACTTTTGATTTTTTTTATTAATTTACATGCAATATAATTTTTTTAATAAATCGTATTATTTATAAATTATAAATATCAATGAGGAAATTGTGACTCACTTCTTTGATTCACTTCAATTTAATTGCAAATGGTAACTCTTAATGCCGAAAAGATTGTTTTTTTGTTTTTTGGGTTGCCGTGGAGTTAATGACTCCGCTGGTTGTGGACACATCTTGGGCCAAAAGTTTATTACGCATCTGATCTGAGATGGAGTCAGGGGGAAGCCTTGAGTGTACCGTCGTTTGTAGGTCCAGTAAAGCAGATCTATATTGTCGCTTGAGAAGAGGTTCAAACGATAGGGGAACGTGGTTTTTTCCTGACGAGTTTCTCTATCGCTGATGATTACGATCGGCGAATTTGGTTTGTGATGCAAAGCTGTTGAGAATCTGAATTCCTGAGAAGCGGAAAAGGGGACACAAATGGGAGAGACAAACCATGCCACCGATGAGGACTTACTTCTCAAGAACTTCTTCGCCGAAGTTAGCGAAGTTGAGCGGGACAACGAAGTCGCTAGGTGTCTCTTTATCTCTCTCTATTAGTATAGCTGCATATAAGTGTGTTAAGTGTAGTTGCTCCTTCTTTATTTATTTATTTTTTTAATTATCTGTTTGCGAATTCTAATTTGCTTCCCCTCTCCGTCGTGTTTGTGAGTTTCTTTTTTGTATTTAACCTCTTTTTCAGAGGCTGTTAGGGTTCTGTTATAATGAAAATTTCACGTTGTTAGCCTATTTGCTTGTCTACTGCTTTTTAGTAAGCCTAAATTCAGCTTTCTCACCTGAGATCTTTTCGACACTTCATATATTCCAAACGATGGGTTATTTGAGTTCTTTCTAGCTTCATATCTACTAATATCATTCATAGAAAGCGCAAATCCAAGCAACAACCAACGGGTAACTCATGGTTTACGTATCGCGTTGGTTATTTGAACTGGAATCGGAAATACTTATCTAAGCCAATAGTCAAGACAGCGGTAGGAATTGGAGATCGTGCTTATCTTTTCTTCAATGGTGTTGACTTGAGGGAAGAAGTAGCATTGACCATGAAATCTGAAAGGATGAAGGGAAAGGAGAAATGGGTGCGTAGGTTAGTGTCTATGGGACTGAAAGAAAACTAGTGAAAAATTCGAAGGTTAGCAAAACCAGGAAGCTGTTGCATTGAGTGGGTGGACTTTGATTGCAAATATATGTATTCTTCGATCTATAATTTCATTGTTTGTACCAAAAAATTACTCTCCTTATATGTAACTTATTCTATCATTAACTTCTACGTATTTTCTGCTGATCATTTTCCCCTTTTCTGCTCAAAGGATTCTCTCTTGTTTTAAGCTGAACCCATTTGAGCATCTAAATCTTCCATTTGATTCATCACATGATGATGTCAAAAAGCAGTACCGCAAGGTAACCTGTCCTCCATCTAATGGCCTTTTCAGCTGTTCTATTATCCTCTCATAACATATTTATGCTAATTCTTTGCAGTTGTCATTGATGGTTCACCCTGATAAATGCAAGCATCCACAAGCAAAGGAAGCCTTTGGAGGTATATTTATGCATGCCGTAGATTTGTTCTGATGGGAATAAATTGTTAGTTACCACCTCACTGTTGTTAGTTTCTTGCTTCCGTGAACTGTGAACTATTTAGCCTTGAATTGTAGCGGTCTTGTATATGAGTATTTGCTAAATTCCTCTCTATAGGGAATAAAGGAAATGCATTTATAAATGAAAATTAAATATAATAAGCTTCACCCTGAATGGAGAATGGGGGGATTGTGAGAATTAGTTGATATTATTTGACCTAAATCTCTGTCAAATTTGTCCCCTAAGGGTATACTCCCTCTGGTCCTTAATATAAGACACATTCTATAAGGTTTTAATGGTCCTAAATATAAGACAATGTAAGAAGTCAATGGCATAAATTTCTCATTTTCCACAAATGCCCATATTAATTGTATTGTGGAGAGAGATGATGTAAGAAGGAGATTAACGGGAATTAAGATAGGTTGATTTTAATTGGAAGATGATATTGGAAAATAGTGATAATTTTTTTACAATTTTAATGATACAAACTACTTTTAACTACTTTTCTTAATTTGTAAATATTTATAAGTGTCTACTATGAAGGACTAGAAGGAGTATAGGTGGAAGGTGGGATTTAAAAGTTGAACTAATGTTGAGTGGTATATCGTATTCTTAATTTTCATTGTAGTGACTGTGTATAGGTTGCTTATTGAGAATGTTTTGCAAAATTTCTTTACATGTCCCCTTCCCCCCCTCATCCTCCACCATCTTTCCTTTTTCTTTTCCACTGAGGTGGTTGACCCTTGATGCTACTAACATAAGTCCTACATCATAGTCTTGACATTCTTGAGGAACTACTGTGATTATCAAAAATAAATTAATAAAAGAAGGTTTTTTATGTTAGTTGTCCATTCAAATTCAAATAGCTCTTTTTTGGCACCTATTGAGGTCATCGGCTTTGCCTGGTAATCAGAATATGTATAGTTGAGATCTTTTCTTTCTGTATGTCACAAATTATTGTTATTATTTTAACTTTCTTACTACCAGGACCTTTGTAGAGTTCTATTGCCTCCTAACTTTTCTTAGGGTGGAAGTTGCTTATTTCTTAAGAAAGTTCTCTTTTGGAGGGAAAATGATATACTTGGCCAAGCTTTTGTCAAAAAATGACCTGCCTCTGAGTAGCAGCAGAAGCTGAAAATTGGAGCTTCTCCTTGTTGGAGGGAAAATAATGTTTCAAGACAAAAGTACAACTACTAAAAATCATAAATTACCATAATGACCTCTGATGATAGTTAATGAAGCAAACTAATGGAGACTTGGTAGTATGGCATATCAAGTTCCGCATTGAGTAGTGTGGGATGTTCAATAGGGTATTTAAGTGGGATAGTTCCCTCATCTCAATAGCTAGCTTTTGAGGTAGGGTTCCCCATCCCACTTAGGTACTCATCAATTGCCCATAACTCACAGGTCCTAGGTTGTTGGAGGTTCCGAAGAGGGCTACTTATAGAAGATTCTAATTGACAAGACATTGAGTGTCATAGAGTGTAGCCATTGGGACGTCGGCTTTCTATGAGGGTCCATTGATGGAGACTTAGTAATATGGGATATTAAATCTTACATTGAGTAGTATGAGATGTTCAATGAGGTATTTAAGTGAGTGCGTTGGTTCTCCTACCTCAACAACTAGCTTTTAGAGTAAAGTTCCCAATTCCACTTAGATACCTATTACAAACCAAAATAAATAGAAATCCACAGCACTCCCAGTGGGCCATTTGCTTGACTATTTCCTGGATATTGTTGCTTCCCATTTGTATTTCAATCATATAATAGAAGCTAAGGACAATTAAAGAATTTATCAATTTCATTGTGCATAGATCATTCAGGAATCAATAGTTTTTTAAATTTGTTAGGCATGTATCCCTTGCTTTGTAGCTTGCTACAAGTCAATAAGTAAAATCTTTTACTCAGGCACTCAGCAAGCTGGTACTTAATTGAGCCTCTCCATGTTTACGTTGATTCTGTTTCGAGCATGTTATCTCCTTCTTGGTTGAAAGTTTATATCGTCATGTAATTTAACATTTTTTTCTTTTCTATTTTACTGAAAAGGGATTATTAACACTGATATAAAGCTCTGCAGCTTGACGGCTTGAAAGTTTTTGTTTACTTTCTAAATATATGTTATGTTATTTACTTGTGTGCAGCATTAGCAAAAGCCCAGCAATTGTTACTTGATCAAAATGAAAGAGATTACCTTCTCAGCCAAGTTAATTCAGCAAAAGGTATGTGCATGCTTTTTTTTTTTTTTAATTCGGCATATTATTCTTACCTTGTTAAAGCTGAAACTTCATTTCACAGAGGTTCAGTTTGCTCAAAAAAGTTATCGTACTATATTTTGGGAAATAATTTTAGGGAAAATTACGTATAGGTCTCATGAAACAGACATATTTACAAATAAGTTTAGAGAAAAACATAACTTTGAGTTCTTGTACTTTACTTGAGTTTTGCTATAGGTTCTTGTACTTTTTTTCAATGTTTTAGGTCCCTATATTTTTATTTTTTGTTGTTCTAGGTCCTTTCATGAGCGGTGTTATAGGGACCTAGAATATCAAAAAATAAACATGTAGGGACCTATAGCAAAACTCAAACAAAGTACAGGGATTCGGAGTTATGTTTTATCTAAATTTCACGACATTCAAAAATTACAGCCAAGCGTTTTGGTACCGGAGTATAATTTAAAATTGGGCTACAAAGACAATAATGCCCCGATTAAAAGTATATTATATCAATCAAATAATTTACAACTATCACTTCAACATTTTACAATAATAACTTTGTATATCTAATAGTTAAATTGATCATGTGTTGCCAACAAAGTTTAACACTAGTTGTTTACAATTACTACATCAATAATTTACAACTCATGCTTCAATATTTTACAACTGTAACTCTAGTATTTTTAATAGGGATAATATTGTCTTTGTATCTCAAATTCAAATTACACTCAGGTTCCAAAGGACCTGGCTATGATTTCTAAATTTTGCGGGACTTATTTGTAAATAAGTATGCTTCACGGGACCTATACATAATTTCTCCCCTAATTCTATCATCTTTAGAGAACTCATGATAGGGCAAATTCTTTTTCTTTTTATTTTCACTTATCAATGATGCATGGACGTGTTATTTTTTAGTTCATTGTTATGATTGCTGTGGCATACATACGAACCCAAGGTAAAATATAAAATATATCTGTGCTGAGAATTAGAGTTTCCAAATTCGTGGCATGGTGTCAAACTTCCCTAGGGTAGAGGCATATAACAAAAATTCTTGTTTTTTCTATTGATTTGTGCTACAGAGGAGCTTAGAGCGAAGAGGAAGAAGCAATTGAAGAAAGATACTGCTTCAAAAATTAAGTCTTTGGTAGAAGAGGTATGTGCCAAAACTACTAGAATGATTCATATTCCTGGTGGTGATCTTCATCAATTAGGAGTTGACAACCTAGAATTTCATATGCTCTTGTGTTATCATCTGTCTGACTGTGCCCTTGTTTGTCTTTGAAATTGGAGTATGAATGTACACTTATTGGTGATATTGCTAGACCTTAACCTTGTATAGTTAGCTTGTCATGCTTTTATTTAAGTATCAATAAAATCTGAAATTGTCACCCTTATATTTACATGAAAAGATAAAATCCAAAATGGGCATATATGAGAAAAGGTAAAATCTGCAATTGTCACACTTTTATTTACACGAAAAGATAAATTGTCATGCTTTTGTTGCTGCTGCTGTATGCCTTAATGTTCCTCAAAAGTTCATCCATGTGTGTCTCTTGTGCATCACAGGGAAAATATGATCATCAATATGAACAATCAGAGGAATTCCAGCAGGAGCTTAAACTCAAGGTCCGTGAGCTATTAACAGAACAAGAATGGAGGAGAAGAAAAATGCAAATGAGGGTATGGGGTCCTTTTCTCCTTTTTTTCTTTTCCATGTGGCTCAGGGAGGGCATGATTCAAATTTGAGATCATTGAAAATTGGTTACTTTCAAATCTGAACGGAAAAAATTAATACATTTGAGCTAATTCATGTTATGCGATCATTGGTTCATTTTTATGTAGATATCAGAGGAGGAAGGCAGACTAAAACGGGAAGAAGAGGAACAGAAGGAGATGTGGAAAAGAAAGCGTGAACATGAGGAGCAGTGGGAAGGAACCAGGGAACAGAGGGTTAGCTTTAGTTTTCTATTTATTTCATACGTGGCTGACTGGCATCATGCAGAAAATGATCTGGAATTCTGGACGAAAATAGTTTAGTAATTCAGATTTTATGGTGGGAATAATAAATTAAAAAAATAATTTTATTTCACTGTAGGTAATTTAGAGATACCAATGCGTTTGATTCCTTTTCTGAATAACGGATGAATTATCTTTAATATGACCTAATGTAGGCAGTGTAATGAATATATTGACCTAGGGTGGCCGGCTGGTATCTTGGCTTTTGAAATGCCATGGCACCGACCAGGAAATAAGGTGACCCCTTTGATATGGTGCCAGTTTGACTGACTTAGTCTTCGGTGGTGCTTAGCATGTAGATTAATTGGTTTGAAACAAAGAGAAGGGGAGGGAAGAGAGCAGAGAAAGGAGGGAGAAAAAAAGAACCTGAGTGCCAACACAAAATTCTCAACTCTATTCAATTTATCGATGAGGCCTAACATTTAAGGAGAGTTTAGCTCTATCTGTAGAGCCTTAGATACAATTTTTTAAAATAATGTAAATCTAATAAATTTTTAAATGATACTTCTTTCGGTACTTATTGTAAGACACTTCTAACTACCTTATTAGAACTGAGGAAAGGTGGTTAAGTCATTAACTTTATTTAAAAATAGATTAAACTTTCAATTTTATTTTTACTTAAATGAAAATTTTTTAAATTTGTATTACATTCTCTCTCATATTTAATGAGTTTAAATATGGGTAATATTGAGAAAATGTAATTAATATCATATAAGGTGCCTCATGTTAAGGATCAAAAGATCCTTCAAGTGTCCTATAATGGAACCAAAGGGAGTAATATAAAGATAAATAATAAAGATAAATAATAAAGTATAAAGTAATCCTAGGTAAGATAGGATAGTAGGATAAATCTTTTAAGTCCTAATTCAAACTAAATTTATAAATCCTAAGAATTTAAAGATAACATTAAAATCAATGTAATAGCCTTGGTGTTCTACTCTTAGTAGGAGCCTTCCATTTTCCATCATGTATGTTTTGCCCCTTATGCTCAACAACTTCCAACAAAATTTTGTTGGCAAGCAGTGATTCTTTTCTTTTTTAAAAAATAAAACCCTCATACTGAAGTAAACAAAAGCTGACAACCATTTCATTATCAGGTATCCAGTTGGAGAGATTTTATGAAGGCCGGAAAGAAGGTTAGAGATTGCTGACTTTTAATTCTTCTTAACACTAGCAAACTCATTACGTTAGCACTGCTAGTTGGGGGTAAACAATGAATTGGGGACTTTGAATTACCCCTTTGATTTCATCTGGCAGGGTAAGAAAGGAGAGATTCGCCCTCCAAAACTTAAGACTGAAGATCCCAACAAATCCTACGTTCAGAGGCCTGTGAAGCGCGGTTAGGCTCGTCAACTGTGTTCAAGAATTTCATAGGCAATCCGAATTGCTGGTATTTAGAAGTTCAGGAGAAGTCGTCCATGTAGGCAATCCCTTGTATCAAAATCAAACTTGCATAAATGTTTGTTGTGGCGATGAGAGGCATCTTGAGCGTTGACCTCCTTATCCGAGTGAAAATAGCTACACCTAGCTGGCAACATCAATATATATTGTTAATGTCGATGCTAGAGAGACATCGGGACTTTGGTGCATGGAAAATATCGCTGTTTGATTGGAGGCGATAGTCGATTTTTTGTTTTTTGTTTCTAAAAATAGTAAAAGGAAAGAGAAACCTCGATGCTAAGTCCCTCTTGCCGGGTAAATCACGTCCTGGCAGTGTGGGGATCAAATTTTGAATGGGCTATAAATTTCAACCAGCTTGCTTTCTGTAAATGTGCTGTGTTTATACGCAGTCGTTGTTTACCAAGATGTGTTAATAAAAAAAATTTATTAATTACATTCCTAGTTAATGATGTTTTTGAAAAACCTTATTAATTGCATTTTTAAATACTTAAAAAATATCTTACATTTTTTTAATAAATAAAATATATATTTAATATATTTTTATTCAATCAAATAAAAAGAAGTAAATTTTAATACGATCATAATATCAATAATAAAAATTTATTATAAAATAAATAATATATCAAACATCTATATGTTTTGATTTAATTAAAGACAAATACCTAATTTCAGAAAAGTCAAACTTAATTTTACTTTAGCTGCTATTCGATCACAAATCCTCAACCACAATCATGGACAGCAACAAGCCACGACATTGGCTGACTAAAATCACATAAGTTCGAGCCAAAACAAGAGTTGATCTCCCATACATAATCCTTTAATGAAAGGCAACAACGCACGTGACCCCGCCACGCCTACCCTGGGAACAACAACTCACGCACACTACAAGGTTTTCCTTGTGGCGGAAGGCAAAATACAGATGCAAATTCAATGCCCAAACTCAAATGTGGAGGGCGAAATACAACTATAATCAAAATTTTTAGTCAGAATAAGCTAATTCACACAAAAAATAATGGTACAGAACTAGGATGGGAATTACACAAAACAAAATCTCTATAATACAGGGACCGGAAGAAAGGTTTCTGATTTATATATTTCACCATCACCTTAAAGAAGGCAAGGAAAAAAGAAAAATACCCTCTTGTCCTCTCAACTTCCTTTTTTTTTTTTTTTGGGATAATTGGCTGAGGATGGTAAGTGAAAAACCTTGTGAAAATTAATGACAAGAGGCAACACTTATAACCTATAATAGACATAGCCATGACCATCGTGCCTGTGGCTCAATTTACAGCACGGGGGTGAAACCAGAGTGAAACTTCCAAGCCTTCTAAAGTAAACCAGCAGTAGCAACCTATCTGCACCTCAAACTTAAGTTCGCAAGGCCTGCTGATAGAGTTATGAAAACCGAAATTAAGAAAGCCTTCAAGCCTTGTGCTGGGATTGAGATCACAAGTTCGAATATACCCCACGAACGGCAGCATCATGCTATTTACAGAACACGGGGAAACCAGTCGATAGCACAAGCCATTTAGGCAAAATATTAGGGAGCAGAGACATTTTCTGTCTTTATATCCAGGCAAGGGAACCTCGATCGTTAGCAACTTGAGGACGACCTCTAGTTGGAGTCGGCGGTCTATTAGCATTCAACTCCTAGGCATATTAACAAAATTGGAAGTAGAAAGCTTAAAACATAGTGACAAGAGCGCTACGGCATCAGCACAAGATACACTTGAAAGCTTATCGCTTGTATTTGATAGGAGCAATACAGCACCAAGAAAGTGCAAAGCATTTAAGAATAAAGTTGCAGTACCTGCATCCATGTATCTTCAATATGACGTTCTGGTGATGCTTCCGGGGAAGAGAGTGCAGGTGGCAATGGATGAATCAACTTAGGAACCACAACAAGATCTCTGCCCAATACTAATATCGCCCCAGCATTATTTGCAGTACCTATTTTTGAACAAGATTCACACTTCAGAAGGGTAAATGTTATGAGGAGATAAGCTCTCTGCATGTAAAAGCCAGGAAATTACCACAGTAATTTGTAGCTGAGAATAGAGTGATCAAATGTCCCTGAGCAAAACGCTCAAAGCCATCCATCACACATTCATGAGCACGAACAATCAGCTGAAGATCGTTATTGTTGCAGAATTCCATGACACGATCAGGCTACAATAGTAAACGTCATCAAGATGAGCATAGCAGCATACAGAGCATGTTAATCTAAGGCAAGACAGGTTTTAACCTTGAAAAAGTACAGGAACCATCAAGCTAGGCCAATATGACCATCATCTATATATCTATATGTAATATAAAATCTAAAAAAAAAAAAAACTGCTCCATATATAAGCTATGAGTACTACAGTTCAACTTAGACTTTATGCAAAACACGAGACAGTAATTTAGTTACAATTCAATTCATTTTACCCCTTCACAAGAGGCAATTATTTTGTCGGTACAGTCACAGGAGGCACGTATCAAAAAGGTACCAAAAGGAAAATATTTAGAGCAGTGCATGCATTACAGTGTTTTGAAGCTCTAGTGCTACCTAATATATGGAATCAATCATTTTTGTTATCTTTCAAGATATGAGAATCACACTTGCAAGCATGTCAGATCAAAATGCCAGACTGTTAATTCTAAGAGTTTAAATAAACACTTAAAAAGCAAGCAGCAGAAACACATCAAAATGAATTTCATGAATAACAAAATAGCGTCAGTATCTTAAACAGTATTATAATATTAATCATCTAGAAACTTCAACGATGCAAATTGGTGATTTTTCATCCAGGGAATCAAAAAACTAATTAACCATTAGCTCATTTTTTGAATGATCATTAGATGCAAGAAGGTCGTGAACACTCACCCCAAAAGTAACTAACCCTGGACCCCTAGCATTTGGCCGCAGTCCTTCTACACTATCATTTTCTGTAGGATCAGACCTGGTGACAAACATTTCAAGTTGTCAGTTTCCAAATAAACATAAATGATACTTTCATAAGCATGTTACATTATACAAATGGACGAACCATAATAGATCCATCAGCACAATTGACCCGGCTTCCATTGTAATTGGACGCTGAAGATTCTCAATCTGTTCCACATGATTTATTGAACGACCAATACCACCATGCATGCAAATAATCTTTTTCTCGATTAGGGCCGCAAGGGGAAGCCAATTAAACAAACGATTAATGCGATGCCATGCCCAAATTCCATCTCTCTCACCCTGACCAGTGATTTACAAGGTTGGTTGATGAACCTTTTTTTTTTAAAGGAAAAAGTCAGTGTCCAGTGCATCATATTACTTACCATCCTTTCAATGCACTCAATTCTGAAACCAAAAAGGGCATTAATATCTGCAGCTTCATGATTTCCACGTATTAAATGCACACTGTTGGGATATTCAACCTGCAATATTCACATAAGCATCCATAAATCTAAGGCCATCAAACTAAATAAAAAACACAACGAAAACCCAAATATCCAGCACACCTTCAGAGCAAGCAGAAGAGTTATAGTTTCCAGGCTGTGTTGGCCCCGGTCAACATAATCTCCTAGGAATAGATAATCGATATATCTGATGGTCATTAATACAACATTAGAAACATAATTAAATATCTAAATCATCAGTTTTATGATAGTCCAAAAAGAGCATCATGAACTCCAGACAGAGAGAGAGAGAGAGAGAGAGAGAGAGAGTATTACAAACATAAAGCCAACCACACACACTCTACTACTTAATAAAGTATGAGAACCCCCATGTAGGATGAGATCCATCAGCATAGTGCCTCATATCATCATAACATTCTACACCGCATAACAATTGAGAAACTTACGCTATGTCACCAGCAGTTGATGGTGCACCATATTCATCAAAGAGACGCATAAGATCCCCAAACTGCCCATGTAAATCACCAAATATTTTAATTGGTGCCTTAAGTTGTAAAACAGTTGGTTCACTTGAAAATATCCGCTCTGCACTATCACAAAGATCTGCAATTTCATTGCAGTCTAAGAAAAACTGTCGGCGAACAGGTGGTTTCCAGCCACGAGGTTTTAACAGGTGAGCTATGACCTGATAAGAAGGTAAAATGACTCCATAAGAAACAAGACTGAAATAACAAGACAGTTTGAAATGGGGATATTCTAGAAAATGAGACAAAAGACACAGCACATTTCACAAAGAAGAAAAATTTTGGAGGGGGCCATAACACAGCATATTCTAATTAGTAAACTCTTTTCATCTAAAAATGACATGATCTATCAGATATTGGAAACTCAAAATCTTACTGAATAATTTTATATAGTAAAATTTTTAAAATAATATATATATATATATATATATTTTTATCAACTATATTTATCATTTTTAATCCATGCCTGTTTGATAACTAATTAGACACACAAAACTCACCTTCTTTGGGACACTATTGATGGACATCTGCCGGTCTAATAATTTTCTAGCTGCAGTTGCACTTTCTGGAGTTCCATAACTGACTCGCCTGCCTTCATTTTCAAACTGATCAATTGAAAGCTGTCTAACCATACCGCCTAATGCTCCACCAGTCTCTGCAGCTATGACAACCTTGAAGAAAATTCAAGAAAAATCAGAAGCCACAATCAATGATATCAAGATAACCTTGACATAGTACTTTTTGCAATCACAACGATAGACTCACAGCTCTATGATGCAGCCGAACTCCACCAGGAACAATATTATTTGGTCCTGCTGAATCAGGCCTAATCAGGGAAGATATTGGTTTCCCACTAGGTGTAGCCTCAGCCCCACGGTCTCTGTCAGGTAATTCAACTTCTCCATTCTCTTGTCGTGCTTTAGCAGCAGCTAATGTGGCACTTATAGCTTCAGCTTCTGCTGCTGATGCTTCAACCAGATACTCAACACCTTTACTAGTTCTCCTGTTCAAATATCATCCAGAGAATGATGAAGCCAAAGTAACAATAATTAATTACTTCATCCAATGTGAATGATCACTATCTTACCGGGGTCCCTGGAGCATGGCATTCTCAGTGCTGATATCAGTATACATGTCACCATTTATAGGGGGAGCCACAGGATTTCCTAGAACAACTGAACCATCAGCAGTTGCTTCAGACATTGTTTGCCTGTTCCTATCATCAACAAATCCATATGGCCCAGGTAATCGTCCTGCTTGTACATTAGATGCAGCCGCTGCAGCAGCAGCATGCGA